CCCAACAGCTCTCACCATTAATGAAAGCATTTATGGCGTTGTAAATCACCCCTTCTTTGGTATTATAAAATTGGACCTTCGAAAAAAAATATAAAAGAAAAGAAAAGGCTAAGCTTGGTCTTCGGGGTCATAAACAGCAAAGATTTAAATGTCAATTGTCAATGGCTCGTATAAGATTCCCTTAGCCTAAAGGTCAACATAAAAAAAGGGGGTGTCTTACTCCATAGCTTCTAATTAACGGCATTGGCCATTAGTTCTTAGTTCATCGGTGCTTGTCACCTCGTGCCAATGATCCAATCAAAGGGAGGGACTGTGTTCGTGTTTGTTTTATTGGGCAGTTACAGTAGTCTGTGTCCAGCAAAGCAAATTTTGTGCCTTGGTATTTAGGTGGGCCCCACTGGTAATACATGGGGTGGGTCAGGGTATTATTAGAGTTGAAAATAAATAGTATTCTAGCACAAATCATGGACATTTCATGTAGTTCAATGCTTTCGTTGGTATCCATTAAGTAGTCCTTTATCCCAAATAATGAGCTCTTCTACATGACATGATTTGTCATTTGTCATAGGCTCATAGCGGCCTTCAATTCTATTTGATGCCTTGACGGTTGAAGCCTTTTTATGATTGAAAGTTCAACCGATAAATTTGTTTATATGCTTTCTAAGTGACCAGAAAAACTGAAAAATAGCAAGCTTAGAGTAATTAAGCTCCCAATCAAAGAGAGCTTGTACTAATTAACTTCGTCAATTGTTTAGGGGAAAACCATTCAACAAACAATGCAAGATGAAACATATGTATTTCAATTGCATGAAGAGAGGGAATTTGATTAAAAAAAATCTAAACTGTTTTTTAATAATAATAATAATAATGTGTAGTGTGCACCATTTGATAATGCCCGTCTTCCTGGTAACAATGAACCCAATATTGATACAATGAGAGGGAACTGTGAGTTCTGGGAGTGCCGAGTGTCGCACATTGCTTTGGTGATGGGTCTCACACGTTAATAATGGATGGGGTTAAATTTCGTGCAACAGCCAGCAGCTAAGGGAGGAGAGATGTAACCATATGGTGGAACACCCCAATGAACATGCACACGGATCGGAGAAGAGAACCTGTTCATACTAAGGGGGTGGGGGTGTCACAAATTGGATGCATGTGACATCAGTTGTGACTAAGCCATATTATAGCAAGAGGTGTCTGTGTTGACAAAACAAAACAGCCAACAGGCAGTCAGGCACATCTCTTATAAAGAAAGGATTGTAGTTGGTGAACATAAATTAGCAATCAGGCGAGTCAATTAAACAAAACCAACGCCTTCACCTGTCCATTGGACTGGATTTGGTCCAATCCGATCTCATCCGATGTGAGCATTATAAATGAACCAGGTTCAATCCAGGGGGGGGGTCACAAATTGGATGCATGTAACATCAGTTGTGACTAAGCCATATTATAGCAAGAGGTGTCTGTGTTGACAAAACAAACCAGCCAACAGGCAGTCAGGCACATCTCTTATAAAGAAAGGATTGTAGTTGGTGAACATATATTAGCAATCAGGCGAGTCAATTAAACAAAACCAACGCCTTCACCTGTCCATTAGACTGGATTTGGTCCAATCCGATCTCGTCCGATGTGAGTATTATAAATGAACCAGGTTCAATCCAATCCAATGAATAATTTGGACCATTTTGGACCGGTCCAATTCAATGTTTGGACCGTCCAATTTGTTCAAATTCATTTTAATTTAGATTGGTTTCAACCCAAACCCTACCCATTAACACCTATATTCTTATCTTATATCAATGGACCGGATATTGGCTTATTCCAACCAAATCCAATATAAATTTATTACAGAGCCAGATCCAGTCCAATCTAATAAAAATTTTGGACCGAATTGGTCCAATCTACCGTCTTTTTGGTCCATTGACACCCTTAGACACAGGTCATGGGACTTGACAACATTATACTTTCCGAGGGCCACGATGTCCAAGATTCACTCCCTCAGTTGGCAAAGTTGCACGTGGAAATTTTCACTTACAATGAAAAAAATAATGAACGAACCAATCAAACTGAATATGGACATTTGCAACGACTGCCTAGTTTTTTGCAAAAGAAAAACAAGGCAACTTAAGGAGTTGAAGGAAGTGTTGAGAAAATTTGAAAACATATCAGGACAATGAGTAAACAACAACAAATCTATTCCCAATAAACAAAAAAAAAAAAAAAAAAAATGACGCTTCATCAAATGGGAATGAAAAGAATGTCAAACAGACATAAATACTTGGGAGCTAAGCTCATCATGGGGAGGCATAGAATTCAAAATACCAAAAAGCTAATTGATAGTTAAATGTACACATAATGAGCTGGAAAGGCAAGCTCGTCATTCACGCTGGTAGAACCACACTGATTAAATCGGTAGCACAAGCTCTACCTACCCATTTATATGGGAGTTGCTACATTCTGCAAGGAACACTAAAAAAATTGGACAAAAAACAGAGTTTTGGTGGCAAGGTACCAAACACAAAGAAACCCTACACACCATTAAAATGGGAAAAGATTTGTAAACCAAAAACAAAGCAAAGGGTGCATTGGGTTTTAGATCGAGTGAGCAAATAAACAAAACAGTGTTCAATAGCATCTCCTAAATCAACCAAAAACTTCGTGGGCTCAAATTATAAAAACAAAATACTTTCTCAAGAAACTCCATCTTTGAAGTAAGGAGTGAGAGCCATTATTCACAATAGTGGAAACATGCCTTGCATATATTAAGAGGTAAAACAAAATATTTTTGGGAAATCAAAGATGGAAGGAGGCATTCCTCATAAAAGCATGGTGCTAACATAGTAGAAGAAGATATCAGCGTATGTGAGTTTTTAAACTCTGTAAGGCAAGTTGATTGATCAAAACTTCACAGGCTTTTTGAAGAAAATATCACTTGGCACATTAAACAAGAAATTCCAAGCAGAAGGGAAGGAGACAAATTATTGTGACAATGAAACAAAAGTGTAGAATATACTGTGAATAGAGGCTTTCTCAAGAAGTCACCCCAATCTTCAGGTGTGCATTTTAAATGGATGCAGATTTGGAAAACCAAAAATTCTCACAGGTTTTGGTTATTTACATGGAAGTTATTGCACGAAGTATGGACAAAAGAAAAACAAAATTCGAGACAAAATGCTAGAGATGACTTGTGTACTCTATGCTCAATACAAGGAGAGATATTCATGCATCTCTTTTTTAAATGTGCGTTTGCAAAAGCTGTTTGGATCCAAGCTCAAATTGGCATTAGTCCAGATCAAATAAATATGGAGAACTTGAAGCAAATAAAAGAACAATGACAATAACATAAAACATGGAACCTGAACAAGAATGAGAGATTTTCTTGGGCAGATTTGGTATAAAAATGAGGCTCATATGGGATTCAAGAAATGATAGAATTCATCATTTGATTATCAATTCAAATGTAGGCAGCAGAACACAACAGTTGGAATCTCATATAGATTCATCATCAATTAAGGACAACGTGGCATGTTTATATGCTGATGGATCATTTGGTCCAGAAACTCAATGGACAGGGGTGAGCTACATTTAATTCAATACTCAAAATCTGTCTTGCAACAGCTGGAAAAGTTTGCAATGTTACCAACAGTTCGGGTGCTGAACTCTAGGTGATAAATCTAGGCTTACAAGCTGCAGTCAATCATGATATTAGAAGAATACTCTGATGCAAAGGAGCAGGTGTGCAAGCTTCAAGATGGGAAAGGATCATGGTCTCAACAAGGCCTTATAGATAATAATATAATATATTGCATCTTTTCACCAAATTCTCACTTTGTAAATATTATCTATATACCAAGAACTAGTAACCTAATGGCTCATAAATTTGCCACATCTGCGTGGTTTGGTCAAGCAGACATTGAGGCTGTGTTTGGTTTGAAGGAAAAAGTAGGGAAAGGAAGGGAAAGGTAGGGAAACCTTTACAAACCTTGTATAGGTTTTCCTGCTTTTCCCTTCCTTTCCCTACCTTTTCCTTCAAACCAAACATAGCCTGATGTATCATCTATAAACATACTCTTAGCAATAAATTCCTTTTTGGTTAAAAAACAAACTATTACATGCTAAAGGATGGAAAATGTAAATAGAACTCATAATGGCACACCTTTCCAATAGGAAATAAGAGATACAATTGGTTCAACTCAACCCACCCCAACCGCTAAAGTAAAAGAAAGAAAGAAAGAAAGAAAGAGGGATGTCGCAATGAAACAAGTTCTGAAGAACAAAGTACCAGCTCCAAGCAACCTACTACATGAATTTTTTAAACCTTCCCATGATTCTTTTTACAGCTTAGAAACTACCTGAGAATGTCGGTTTTTAGCTATCATGCTGCCACTATAACCCAGCTTACTTGCATAACCACCAACGGCTAAGGGTGGAGGCTTGAGCCCAAACAACACACTCCATACACTAAACCCCTATTTTTTATATTTATTCAATTACAATCTAGGTTCTGATTGAGATTGTCTACTGCTGGTTGTCACACTGCAAAGACTGTCATTTCCCACTCGGTTTGATTCACCAACTCCGGCTGCCAAAGCAAGAACTTCAGGTGATATTTCCCAGCTCCCACTTTTCCTTCCCCAACTTGAGCGCCTGTTGTTTGTTCCAGCACGGCTATCCATACTCTCTGCAGGAATCGCCGTGCTTAAATCTGGTGATATGTCACCAAGCTCTCTATCCTTGATGTCCAGAGCATCATCATTGCTAAGCGGCCCTTCAAAATCACCTATCCCAACCCCAGACTCAGCCCATGTAGCTTTTCTACCCATTTCTATGTCTCCAACAGCTTTTCCCATATTTGGACTAATAAACCCCCCGCCCACAGAACGAGGTGGCAAGCAAGGTTCCTGTGGCACCCTTGCTCTAAATTTGTTTTTGGATGGCGGAATACTGGTGCAGAATATCTCCTTGAAGTTCTCCACCACACCTTTGTTGTATGGGTTAGCACGCCGATCATATCGGTATCTAAAATTCTCATAGGTAGTCTGTCATATCACAGAAAAACAACAATTGGCATCATCAGCCACTGAAATTTTAATTTGGAGTTCCTGGTGTACAACTACAAGGTTTTAATTTGCTTAGATGATCTTTTACCTGGTTTGTGCTGATTAGATATAAATGGAAAACAGTGAGGCCACCTACGAACCAGACCGAAACAAAGGTGTAGATTATCAGCACAATAGAAGCAGGTGTCTTACTCATTGCTTTCCAGATTGATGTATTCTCAGCATCCATGATCCTCTTGATGTAGACCCAGCAGAATCCAAAGACATATATACAAAGAAGAGTTGTCGAGAAAACAAACATGAAGAAGAACCGGTAATTTCGCTGCAGATAAACACAGTAATAATGTTCAGAAGTATACCAGGAGTAAACATCCTCAAATCAAGTTCTGATGAGAATTATGACCATGAGGTCCATGACTTGTGATGCAAATAGCATCTGAAACAATTGGCCAAGGTTTCAAATAATGCCATTTCAACAAGAAAACTTACCTACTTGTTTCTATCAAGCAACAACTTTCACTTGGGTTCTAATTTTATAATTTCAAGTTCCACATTCCTTCTGATCATCGTCGTTGCATGGACTCTCCTAAATGGATGAAGCATCCATGTCAGACATGCATTGGACTTTGACACTCCATGGATTCTTTAAGGACACTTCTATGCAACATTTTTCTTTTTCTCTTTGCTCGTTTAACATAATTGAACAGTTAATATACAAACCAAATGTCATATTTATAGGCTTATAATGTTGGAATTCAACAAAGTATGGACTATTTTAATAGATTATACTTTCCCATAGATGTGTGTGAGTCCTTGTTTCTTTGTCTTGCTGAGTTGGACTCCCAGATGTTGGATTCTGATTCCTGTGTCTGTATCCATGTAACACTGTCTACCGTCTGACAGTATTATTTAGTCAAATGCAGAGAGAGGGAGAGAGATTAATAAGGATCTCAGCTACATGATGGTCAGCATCACCAATCCCACCTATATTTGGGCTACAACCAATCGTGACTAACTCTAACCATTCCCAAACCCCCCAATATCATCTTAGAGATAAAAATTTGGATTTCAGAGTTTGCATGCAAATGTCACTCATTTGGATATATGAAGTCTGTGATATGATTAATAAGAATGCAATCACTTACCAGCCCGATACACTGGCCAACCCAAGGGCAATGGTGATCAAACCGTTCCACACAGTTATTGCAGATTGAGCAGTGTGAACAGCGAGTAGGCCTATAAAGCATGCAAGTATCACAGTACTTGATTTTCACAGTGATCCCGTTAACAACAACATCCTTCATACGAGGTAAACGTAACTGTGGAGTTTGGCCACCCCCAACTTCAGCACTCGCATCGTAGCCTTCTGGCTCTGGAGGATGTGCATTACGAGGTATTATACCAGGATCTCTTCCAGAGGTTAACAAAAGAAGGATCAAATCCTGAACAATAAATGAAACCCATCACTACTGATAAAAAAACTTCATATGGATCATAATTATTTTATCTATTTCATCAGGAAATGAAAACAGATGGCAAGTAATAGAGATTGCGATTTATATAGCCAGAATATAATTGCAGAAGACAGTTACTATTGCCAAATGCACAACAATGGAATTATAAATCAAGAAGACGGTTACTAATGAGGTAGCACTGTCCTCTAGGCTCAGTTTGGAAGGAGTACAAATACAAATATATACTGTACAAATACATACAACATAATATAAAATAGAAGGTTTTGTGCTCTACATATTTGTATTTGTACTCCTTCCAAATGGAGCCCTAGGGAAAAAGAAAGAATATGAATGGAGTGGAAATCACCAGAAGGCAGCAAAGTAAAACTAAACTTTGATGGAAGTTCATTGGGGAACCCGGGTCTGGCATGGTGGTGCAATCAGAAATATGGAGGGTAAAATCCTGGCTAGTATTCAGGGCCAATTGGCATTCCAAACTCTACGGAAGCTGAATTGTTGACATGGCTGAAGGGTCAACGGCTAGCAAAGCAACTGGGTTTTAGACAGGTGGAGGTGGAAGAGGATTCAAAAGTAATTATCTCATGGGCAAGCAGTAACAGAAATATCCCATGGACTCTCAAACATGTTTTTTCAGGGTCGTGGAAGGGATAGTAAGGGATGTAAATGCTGAATTCAAGTGGGTAAGAAGGAGTGCAAAAGCTCCCTTGCTAAACAAGGGACTGCGAGACAGCAATTGTTTTGGGCTTCTTTGTAAATGGGCTTTAATATATGGGATGGCTTGTTGTCATCAAACTGTACCGATCTCAGTTAAACTACTTTAATAAAGTAATTTTTGCTGATCAAAAACTAAATAAATAAATCATGCATTATCATACATCAGTAATGGCACTACTCATCAACAAATGCAGGCATAGTTTCCCCAAGCAAGGCAGTTCATAGTCCCAACTTCCACAAAGGGGGTAAGGTGGGGAGCCATTAATTGTCTACCAAATGTCAAGCGGTGCCTAAGAAGCATATCCAACATGGTGGCCTTGGAAATAAAATAATATTATGCAGATAAACAATTTTGGGTAATTTCTAATGGCCAACAGACCAAAGTTTGTTTTTTTCTAAATAATGGATTGCAATCAATGAATGACTTTATTTTTGCATATCCAAAATAGCATTTTCTTCATGGATGATGGGTTGTTTTTGCTAAATGGGTCAGAAGCACAACACATTTGTCTCTAGAGTCTTTCAAATACTTAGCAAGTCTAGGTCAATTGACTGAAAAATAAGCAGACCGACATAAGCAACACCAAAGTGAAGCCATCATTTGTCCAATCTGCAACTTATACTTTTATGTTTATGAGAATTGGTAAATGAATGCTAAACCACTAATTTGTTGTGGCACATAATTAAATATGAAAGATAAAATGTCAAAAAAAAGTTTTAAAAGGTATAAGCCTTAAGAGACATTAAAAGAGATGAAACTCACATATAGCGTGAATGCAATAGCAACAACCATTGTTGATAATCCCAAGTCATGAGAAAAATCACTCATCAATTTTCTGGCAACAAAGATGCAGAAGACTGTGACAGGAGCAGCAATAAGGAAAATAGTTAGAAACAGTGACCTCACATCTGGTCCAAAAATAAATCTCCCCTGAAGAAAAAATATCTGCAAAACAGAAACCATATATGTCATCAGTGAATTGTTGATAGCATGAACTAGTAAAGTGAATATTTTCCACAACAGACAACAATAAAAAAAAAATTGCGAACAGAAATGCAAACTTCAGAATTTTAAACAACATTTTGTCTTTAAATTTTAAATTGTGGCATTAACACTTTAAGAACCAATATTCTAACCATCATGAGCATAGGAAACATCACAGTGCATAATTCATTAAGGAATGCATGACCAATTTAGATAATATTAAAAGGCAAGACTCTAGTTAAATCTCAAGTAAGGACAACTTATGTGTCAGAGGAAAGGAGAAATATAATAAGAAAGTGCCAATACATTAGGAAGCAGGCTCAATGAGACAGTGGTTTGTAGGAGATTATAAACTGCTTGTTTCTTAAATGAACGCAAGTCACATAACATAGAAGCACCAGTCTCCATGAAGAAACCAACAGAAGCTGTCCCCCTGAAAAGGTGATACATATTCATTGAGAACCAGGGAAGTCCAAAAAGGATCACCTGTTAAACTAGGCCAGTTTTTGCATAAGCAAGGTACACAATAGTTTAAAGCTAGGTAGGACCGAGGAGGAAAATGGCAATCGATATTGTCCATTGAAATCAATCCCTTTATCCCTTTGGCATTCAATAATTCAAAGCAAGTATAGGCTTTACACTGACTAGAATGTCTAAAACTGATATCTGTTTACTGGGTAACATCACTTACAAATGTCAATTCTCCTTTAATGACATTTGGAGAAATTGGTCAGCAGTAGCAAGGTGTTCATCTCTAAAGGACAAATCAATTACAAGCTAGTCTCCTCCACCCGAAGGCTCAATAAAGTTGAACTTTGATGGAAGCAGCATGGGTAATCCAGGATTATCCGGAGTGGGGGGTGCTTTGAGAAATGAGAAGGGAGA